CTGGGACAGATGGTTTCGATGCTCCTGCGCCTCTGCTGATCACAGAAGGCGTCGGTTTTTGGCTGCTGCGCTGCATGGTTCTGGGGGTGCCTCGAGCTCTTCTGATGAGTTGGTCGATGTGGCGACTCCTCCTGGGTCTCCTCTTGCTGATATCCCGAGTGATGCTTCGCTCTCTGCACCGCCTACGCCTCCGGCACTTCGTCAAGCTCGGCAAGATCGTGGACGTTCTCCTGTTCTACCACCTCTGGGAGCTCGTCGCTCTGCTGCAAGGCCAAGTGCTCCGGCTCGCAGCCGGTCCCCACCTTGTGGTTCGGCTAGTCGGCTTTTGCCTCAGTTCTGCTCGCATCCGGCTTGGCAGGCTCTGGTTGCGCGAGTCGATCATCTGGAAAATGTGGTTGGCGTGTCCATTGGTCCTCTGCCACATGTTCCAGATTCGCTGGGTCCTGTACCTGCGCCGCCAGCTATTCTTCCGGAAACGGACACTTCTGCTGCTCTTGCGACGAACGCTTCTTCTGCGATGCCTTTGGCTAACGAGGACGCCGAGCACCCTATTGCTTTGAGCAGTGTGCGCTGGGTGATTCTTCGCCTGACATCCTGGACCAATGCTGAACTGGTGAGGTTGCCGCCGCCACGTCTTTTTCGCATTTTGTGGATCTTGTGGGCTGAGGGCCGTCTCCAAAACGAGCCATCTGAGATGCAGTATTGGGCTGCTCAGGATCATGTTCCGCAGAGTTTTGCTCCTGACACTCCCCCGATTCCGTAGTCGGGCAGCGACGTTTTCTCTTGAGGCGGCAGCTCGGTGCCTGTAGATCTTTCCAGGAGGTCCTTTGGTCTCACGCTTGTACAGAGCATGTTTTTTGAGTGCTGAATTTTGTCGTGAGCATCGCATTTTCTCACTCTGAGCATTCGGAAAATCCCCGCTCTACCGCGTAGAGTGTCTTCTGGGGATCTTCATGCTCTTTGCAGGTTGCCCGGTCCCGCTGGATTGGGGTTTAAGTCCTGTTCTCGGAGTTCCTGTTCAGGAATTTCCTTTGAGTTCCGGTGTTGCTGGGGCTTTGTTCAGGGTCTTTGCGTCTGCTTATAGCGGGCCCTTTCCTTTTTCTTGAGCTGTTGTTCTCGCAATTTTTGGCACCGCTGTGCTTGAGGGATTCATTGGGCAGTGTTTCCTGAATCCCCACTTCCCTTCCCTTCTTCCCCTCCCTGAAAGTGAGTGCGTGAGCTTTTGCTCCTGCTTGCTTGCTTGGCTCAACCCGCACGCATGTGGGTTTCTTGTGAGGGGTTGTCTTGGTTTGAGTTTCCACTTTCAGGGTTAATAGTGCCTGGACGATGGCTGCTCATTCCAATTCTGGTTTTCGCTTCCGTCGCAGTGCACTGCCTCATGATGCCATTGTGGCCTTCTCAGACAGCGATCTTGAGGATCTCATACCGATCGATGGCCAGCGTGCGCCCGCCCACAGGCCGATGCCGTATGCAATGCCTACAGTTGCTCCTGCTGATGGTAGCACTGCCGCCCCGCCATTGCCTTCCCCTAGCAGTATCCCTGGTCAAGTTCATCCCGAACTGGCTGCTCTGAGGGCTCGTGTTGAGATGCTTGAATCATGGGTTGCCGTGCATGCCCTGAGTCGTCAGGTGGATGTATCTTCGGCGCATCGTTTTCATTCATCCTTGCGATCGGTCATTCTTGATGTCCCCTTTGATGATCTTCTGCGCACAGGGTTTTCCTGCTTGGACATGGCATTCATTCGCGTGCTTCGCGATCTGTCTGTGCAGCAAGATGCTCTGTCACGCACGATTGAGGCGGTGGACTCCGGCCTCGCCCGCTTCTCTTCGACGGTGGGCTCGACGGTGCCTCTTGAAAGCATAGGCAGTGTGGGCGCAGCAGCTCTCTACGATCGTGTCGTGGCTTTGGAGGCCTTTGATTTCACTCGTTTGCAGGCTCGCCTTGAGGCATTGGAGTTCCGCTCACTTTCGCAGGCTCAACGCCTTCGTCAGCTGGAAACTGTCATTGCTTCTTTGAGTTCATCGCTCGAAGCACTACCGGAGCGGACCGTCTCCTCTTCTGCTGCACTTGCTGGGAACCCATCCTGGGCTTCTCTCGTTGGACCTCGTCCGGCTAGCACTGACACCAGCCTTGCGTCACATGCAACTGCATCAGCCGTCGACCCTAGTCTGGACCCCACCGTCCATTGGGAAGCCGTTCCTTCTTGTGCACCTACTGCCTCGGAGGGGACTCTTTGAGGGTTGCTGACCCTAGTCTTGGGTTCTGGGCTTAGGTTTGCTGCCGGATGACCCCCTGTGTTTCCCGGCTCCCTTTCCTTTCCCTAGGTTTTGGTTTCCTCTGCTGTCAGCATGCCTCCTGGCATCCAGCACCCTCAGGATCTGAAGTTGCCTGATGCGCTAAAAATTGTCGCACGGTTTGCGCTTGCTCCTCATGCTGTCTGCAGTGAGCTCTCTTGTGACACTTGCGTGTTCCTTCTGCAGGGGCTTTGTCTGTGGGTCTTACTGCACTGTGACGGGAAGCTTAGCAGCTTCTACCGTCCACCTTCTGCAAGTATTGCAGCTGCTCCGATGGCTTCTGGGAGAGACAGAGCTTCTCGACCTCGTCTGGGTCCAGCTGGTTTGCCATCTCAAGCACCACTGCGTGCACCGTTACTACGCCCCCGAGTGATGCCGTACAAGCCAGCTGAACCAGCGGCCAGGCTGTCCCTGGAAGCTACATTGGTGGCCCATCCTCCGGAGGGTTCAGCTTTCCCGGTTCCTCGACTGTTGACATCATCGACTACTAAAGCTGCCTGCAGCATGAAAGACGCCTTGACCAACGCGATGAATGAGCAGGTCAGTGCCTGGCTGGTACTTTCACGCCGAGCTTCATCACACAGCAAACTTGTTGCTGGACTTCTGCTGAGCACTCAGGCAAATGCCCATCTTGCTCGTTTGGTACGCATGAACGCACCGTCGACCCTTTGCTCTTACCTGCGGATGTGGGTTCAATGGGAGAAGTTTGCGGAGGCGAATTCCACATGTCCATTCGAACCACCCGAGTTTCTGCTGCTGGACTTCTTCTCACTACACGCTCGGGGTCGACTTTGCTCAGCACAGGGCTGGATAAAAGCATTGCGTTTTGTGGCGAACAAGCTGGTGCTCGAAGTCCTGCGGCAACTTCTGTTCACCCCAGCGGTTTCTGCCTATGCCCTCGCTACTGAGACTGTTCCACGACGTGAATCGGCTCCGTTGCCACTTTCCTTTGTTATCTGGCTTGAAGGTCAGGTCTTGGACGTGCTGGCTTCTGCAGCCCATCGCCTTCGTTGTGGGGCAATCTTGGCTTGCGTCTTCGCATCATTACGCTGGAGTGATGCACTTTGGAGCTCGCCTTCTGAGATATACATCTCTATGGGTGCCTTGCTTGGCTCCGCTGCTAGGACCAAAACTACACGGAGATCCATGCCTTGGGCAGCGCGTGCTGCTGGCTTTCTTTCGAAAGGTTGCTCAGCGACTTCCTGGGGTTCCGTGTTTTTTGCTCTGCTCCAAAGGGCACTCGAAGCAACGAAATGTGCTCATCCCGAATTTGAGCCAGATTTTCTGCTGGCGGACCTCGGGCCAGATGAGTCGTCCCCTCTGCTGCTGGCCCCCTTGTCTCGCAATGAGGGATTGATCTTGCTTCGGCGTCTGCTGCTGCGCTGCTACTCGGGTACGCCGGCAGAGAAACGCCCGGATCTCTCCTTGATTGGGGTCCATTCCTTGAAGGTCACTTTCCTGAGCTTTTCCAAGCAGCTCTTGATTGAGGAGCCCCTGAGGCTTCTCCAGGGACATCACAGAGGTTCTCTTCGCTCGATGGGTGAGTTGTATGGGCGGGATGATGTGGCCGCTCCGCTTCAAGTCCAGGAGAAGATTATCAAGGCAGTCCTGGCGGGTTTTCGACCACTGAGACCGCATCTACGTGGGGCGTGTCCCTCTTCGCCGGACATTTCCATTCTTTCGCTTCCGTCTGCTGAGAATAGTGATTGTGAGGTCCCGCCTTTGGCTTCTCGCCCAGAACCTACGATGGAAGATGACTCCTCCAGTGACTCTGATCCAGAGGCAGCTCGTATGGTGGTTTCTCAGAAGTGCTCCGATGCCGCGGACTCCGATGACTCTGGCTTTGCAATGAAGGGATCCTTGCAACCTCTGCCGGTCGCTCGGGCTGGTGGCTCCGAATTTTCGAGTCCCGTGGTGTCTTCGGGTCAGCTGGATTCTGGCGACTTTCAAGCTGAAAATCCAGCCTTGCTGGATCCAAGCTGCGAGCCGTCATGCTTTGCCCCGGGTGTCATCGACTCGGAAGCTGAAGAGTTTGAGTTTCTCCTCAATACCCAAACTAAAGTTGTCCATATTGCTCGTGTTTGTTCGGCATCTCATCCAGCTTGCCAGTATAGGCCCGTGCTGCCTTCAGACTTTGATCGACCCTTGCGTGCAGCCTGCGGCGTCAGAGGATGCTCCTCTGTTGGTACGCTTCAAAGAAGCCCTGAGATACCAACAGGCTTTCGCCTGTGTTTGAAGTATGGCTGCGCTAAGGATCCTCTCTTCGAGCAGATCACGCTTGATCTCGCTGGGGAGGCCGATGTGCCCGCTGGCCTTGGATCGTCCATTGTCTGAGTTTTTCTCGCCAGCCTCCTGTGCTCGGGGCCCACGCTTGGGTTCATGCCTCGGGGGGACCGCTGCTCTCCGCCTGACTAGCATGGGTGTGGAACCCTTGTTGGTTCTCGAGGGTTTGCCGGCGACGTTTTTGATGTGACGTGGACGCGCCGTCCTCGCATCTTTCTTTGCTGGTATTCGTTCTGAGCCTGCCGCTGTGGCCAGAAAAGATGCTGTACAGGGCTTTCTCTTGTCAGCTTGCTGATAGGACTTGCCCATGCTGAACAGGGCTTCGCTTGGTCAGTTCTCGCATGCCGGCTATCATTTGGTTTCTTCTCCGCTTAGTTTTGGTTGCTTCAGGAGGGAAGTAGGGGCTTCGTTGCCGGAGTATCATGGCAGTGCGCGTGGATGACACGGTTTTCTTGGACTCATCACTGGTGGCCTGGGGCGTCCCCGAAACGGTGCGTCAGGCCCTTGCTGCAAAGGGGTTCACTACCATGTCTTTGATTGCTCATGCGTTGCCAAGCTCCGATCATCTGGAGAGCTTTGTCGACTTGGTTCTTGGTCGCCCAGAGGGGTTAGCCCCTGACGCCCCCTTGCTTTCTCCAGAAGCCTCCGCTCTGCGCAGGGTCGTGAAGGAATGTTCTGCAGTGGTCTCCGGCACGTCCTCTCTGTCGGGCATCCCTTCCTCTGCCCTCACTGTTCCGAAACCCAAGCTGTGTGCCGGGGATGTCACCAAAATGGTTACTGACTTCACCGCCAAGTATCCTTCCGAATTTCTTCGTGCCCAGCTTGTCTCTGCTGATTCGTGTCAAGGAGGGCCTCGATGCTCGGAACTTGGGTTGGATTCCCTGGAGGTTCCGCACGACGGAGCATGAGGAGGCTGTGGTTGTTCGTCGTAAGCCTCGCGCTGATGTGGCTTTGCTGACTTCTCTCCTTGCTGCCCAGGATCCGGATCCTCTTGAGACATCCGTCCCTTCGGGGGGGCCACTTGAAGCCACGCTGCGCCGGTTCATCGGCCTCTTGTGCACCTCGATTGCGCTGTTGGACGGGATGCATTTGCTGCCCCTTCGCAAGATGCTGGAACGTTTCGTCTCCACCGCGACGGCGGTGCCGGAAGACCGCTCGTTGCTTTTTTACCCACTCTATCCATTGGCCTCGCGAGCCTTTGGAATCTTGTCAAGAGGCGTAATTAGGTCGAATTCAAATCTGATCTGCTTGGGAAACACAAAGTTCCTCCCATGATGGAGTGATAGATGCAAAGGGCTTTGTTCGAACTTTACTTTGAAGGGAATGCAACTGTCGGGAGATACCAAGACACCAACTCGTTATGTGCATTGGGAAAGAGCACTGCCGGGCGACAGAAATACCACCTAGCTGACCGAAGCCCAAGCTCTTGGCGTGTCGCATTCCACTCATGACATCAACTGAAACATGGTGCCGGGCAAGAACAGACAGAAATAGATCTCGAAATCTGCGGAGAACCACCCCAAGAGACATGGACCTATTGAAGAACCCGGGAAAAAAGCCATACTTAGCAGTGAAATCTGCACATAACACTACCCAGCTTGTTCGCTCAGTGGTTCTCTTTGTGCCCCACTTCCACCGACCGTCACAAATGAAATCACTCATGGCATTTCGTAGCGCAAGGGAAACTAAGCAACCTTTGAGACGGGTTCCTTCGCAGTCCTGTGGAAGCAGCGGCGCACTGAGCACTCCAACGTACTCCAATGAAGATTTGAGCTCGTTGCGAGGTCCGCTTTTGAATGAGGCTATCGAAGCTGACCGCACGTTCTGGTCAGGAGTTGCTCTCTTGCAGACCGAACACGGCTGGTCTCTGGCTGATTCGGTCGCCGAAATGACGTACATCCGACCTGACCTCTTTGCCGCGTTGGCCCCTCGCGTGCGTGCCTCTTCCTCCGAGAATGCAAAGAGGAAAAATCATCAGTCTTCCGATGCCGCTGGTCGTGCTCGCGGCCAGCCCAAGGCGAAGTCCAAGGGCTCCGGCAAGAAATCCTCTGCTTCTAGTCCGAGTAAATCTTCGGGACAAGGATCTCCTTCGAAGGTCTCGGTTGCATCTTGGCCTGAGTCGTGGGCTAAGACCATTGACGGTGTCGGCCCCTGCATCCGTTTTCACACTGGCAAGTGTCGGAATGCCAAGCGTCGTTTCAGCCATCGGTGCCCTATCTTGAATGCAGCCGGCGTTCCCTGTGGCCAGAACCATTCTGCTCAGGAACACGCAAAAGCTCCCCATTGAGGGTCCGGCCAGGGTTTGCAGATCGGTTCGGAGTCTGCAGATCTCTTGGCCTCAGCTGGTTTTTCCGAAGCCTCTCCTTTGTCAGGTGAGGATGCTGCTGAACCCGATTTTGGGCCCTCTTGTCAGGACTTGCTTGCTGAAGATTTTGCCGATGCGTGTATCAACTCGGGTGTTGCCCCGACTTGTGCCATGATTTTGCGTCTTGCGGACCGCTTGCTTTCTGAGGCTCCTGACCTGGACGACAGGTTCGCTTCCGGCAAGTCTGTCTCGGCTGGCCTTCACCAGAAAGGCTCTGGCGGCCTGCGCAAAGTTTCCTCCTCTCATCCCACATCGGTGCGTCTGATCAATCAGTTTGTCTCCCATGTGGCCCCGATCATCTTTTCTCCAGTTTTGTCATTATCGATGGTGTTGAATCACCGGCCCATCGTGACCTCCGAAACTCTTTTCTCCCGAATCTGGTCATCCCCCTCTCTTGTTTCTCTGGAGGTGAGCTTCTGATTGCAGATGACCTGGGCGCTCAGTTCCTTGAGGATGAGGGGTGTCGGATTCCTGCGGTTGCCATGCCTGTGGCTGACCACCCAATTTTGTTTTGTGCATCTCGTCACCTGCACGCTGTCCGTCCTGCAGAGGGGCGTCGGGTGGTGTTGGCTGCTTACTGCCTCCGGCTGGCGCATTCGTTGTCGAAGCAGCTCTCTCTGAGGTTGTCCGAACTTGATTCAGACTCCCCCGCCTGCATTCTGATCCTTCCGGCCCTGCATGTCGGACCCAGATCCTGACTCTCTCCGATCAAGCAAGACGGAGTTTGGGCCCCCCCTTGGGACCTCTTGTTGATCTGCGAGCTCGAGTTCAAGCTCCAACGCCTGGTCTCTCCCGTCACTGCAGCCCGAATTCCAGGATTCGCCCAAGGCCGTCGTTGCTCGGAATGCCTCGGCTGATTGTTCTGTTCCCTATGGTCTCGGAGAAGTTCCCGATGGCTGCAACACCCTGCTATCTGCTCAGGGCCCATCGGTCGAACTCTCTGTCCCCTCGGATTTCCCGCCCCAAGCATCAAGCCAACCGCGTTTCTTCCTTGACCTCTTTGCTGGCGCTGCACATCCTGTGTCCTCAGCGGTAGCGGCCATCTCTGGGGATCGTTTCGAAGCTGTTGACTTGATCCATGGTCCGCAATTTGACCTTCTGAATGATGACACGTTCGCACTCTTGTGTGCCATGGCTGATCATGGTGTCATTGGAGCCGCGATGGCAGCACCGATTTGCGGTGAGCATACTATTTTGAAGCTCCGTCCTGGAGGACCTCCTGCGGTCCGCACACCCAAATTTTTGGACGGTCTCCCGACCAATAACTGGGATCAAGCGGTGCGAGCTCAAAACAGTGCTCTTTTGCACGATCGCACGAGGGAAATTCTCTCTCGGGTCAGTGCAGGGCATGGCTTGGTGTTGCTGGAAAACCCAGTCACTTCGATGACTTTGATGACTTTCCAAGACCCCTTGATGCAAAGCTGGATGCTTGCGGAGGCCCCCTTTGCTGCTCAGGTGGCGGCATGCCAGTTCGGTCTCTCCTGGTACAAAAGGTGGCTTTTTGTGTCGAACCGTGCTGAGGTTCTTGAACTTGCCTCCTGTTGTCAACATGGTCCCGCTGCGCATTATTCGCTTCTTGGATTGCGGGACTCGTCTGGACAGTGCGTCAGTCGACTTTCGGCTGAGTATCCTAAAGGTCTGGCTTGCAAAATTGCGCATGTAGTTCAAAAGTTCATTTCGTGCCATGATAGATTCATGCGCTTGCAGGATTGGCGCTGTTTGCTTCACCCGTCTCCATGCTGGCATCTTCCGGCTGTTCGGGTCGAGGACGGTGCCGGTTTGCACAGCACTGCGGCCTGGTTGCAGCCGCAAGCCCCTGATCGTCTCGCCAAGCTCCGGGAAAGATGGTCGCGACGACTGTTTGAGGACAAGTTGTGCTTGCGCTTGGCATGCTCTCTGCAGAGTTCACCCGATCAGCCTCCCCTGTCTGAGTCGGATCTTGATCCTTTTGTGCAAGATGCTCTGGACGTGCTGGGGGTTTCGACCAGCGACCGCTCAGCAGTTCTTTCCATCACTCCTGGCCAACCCTTGCGATTGCATCTGTTGCAAGCCTTGCTTGAGTGTCTTGGCGATTCTGAAGCTGCCATGTGTGAGGACTTGCGGACAGGGGTACGCGTAGGTGTCGGTGTGGACATCACACCTTCTGATCATTGGCCCTCCCGCGACTGGGCTCCTGTCATCCCAGATTTGCAAGTCTGCGAGGGATCTTGGCTGTCTGCATCGTCTCATCCGAGTCAGGTGAACGAGTTGCTCGCGGAAGAGCTCGCTGCAGGTTGGATCGAGGAATTTTCCTCCCTCGAAGACATCCGCACTCGGTACCCCACAGTTGCATGTGGTCGCCTTGGCCTGGTGCTTGCCGAAGGGCGTTCCCCTCGCCTCGTCGTGGACTCCAGCATCAGCGGTGTTACCGAAGCCTGCTTCATCCCTAATCGCATGCTTCTCCCGCGCATTGCTGACATTGCTCTGTGTGCTCCGGTGCAGTGTGTGCAGGAGGATTGGGTTCTGGTGTCCCTCGATGTTCGTAAAGCTCATCGATTGGTGCTCATCCACCCGGATGATCAAGGGCTCCTTTGCTTTTCCTTTGAGGGCCGTTTTTTCGTCTCCAAGACTCTGAACTTCGGTGCCCGCGCTTCAGCCTTTTGGTGGGGTCGTTTGGCTGGAGCTCTGATGAGAATCACACATAGCCTGATTTTCTTGCCCCATTTTCTTTGGGATTATGTGGACGATTTTTTGGGTGCTTTTCGCAAGGCTACCGCGCCACTTCAGGTGGGTTTATGGGTCGTCCTGTTCCTTGTGCTTCGAGTGCCCATCAGCTGGCACAAGTGTGCTTGGAATTCCCGGGTAAAATGGATAGGCTGGGACATCTGCGTTTCCTCTTGGACAGTCTCGCTCCCTGCAAGCGGTGTCGGCTTTTGCAGGGCTTGGATGAGGTGTTGAGTGCTCCGAAGACCAAGCTCAAGACGCTGGAGTCCTTGATCGGTCGACTGCTATGGGTTTCCGGCTTGTGGAAGTGCCTTCGCCCGTTGCTTTCACCGCTCTATGCTGCGCTGCAGGCCATGCCGGCATCTTGCGTCGCCGTGTCACCGGCGCTCTGGCAGGCAATCTTGGATGCTGTGGATGATCACTGTGTGATCCGCAGTGACGTGGGTCATGCTTCTTTCCCGCTTGGGAGCCGTGTGATTCGTGTGGCCAATACCGCCACGCATACCAAGGCCCATTTGGTTCGCATGGTCTTCCAACACCGTCGCCTTTGGGTCACCGTTCAGTCCACGGACCATCCGTTCCGGGAGATCTCCAGTCCCGCTCGGGATGCTCTTGCGGCTTGGCGTGCGATTCTCGAGGCTTCCCCCCTTTCGTTCGTGATACGTCAGCCCATCCACCTTTCGGTTCTGGCTGAGGCGGACGCATGTGCATCGGAGAAAGGGTGCGGCCTCGGAGGCCATGTCTGCTGGCCCTCCGGTCGCCAAGTCTGGTTCTCGGTCGCTTTCACTGCTGCTGAGATTGCCGACCTTGACCCTGTTTTCCAGGGCTGCCCGCAGGCTCATATCGCGGCCTTTAAAGCTCCTAGCTCAACTCTGTCTGTTGTGGCTTGTGGATACTCTCATACCCAGCTGTCGCTCTCTGGTGGCTGTCAGTCTTCGCTGCGACAACGCGGGGGCGGAGGCTGCTACGGCGAAAGGACTCTCTGGCGTCCGTTCTCTAGCCCTAGTCCTGACAGCCTTTTTGGGGTTTCAGAGAACCCATGGAGTTCTGGCTGAGGTGACGCATGTGCCTGGTTTCAAAAACCAGTTGGCTGATGAGCTTAGTCGGTGGTTGAGCGGCGCACCGCCTTTGCCCCTGTCTTCTCGGTTTCAGCCTCCTGTCCGGCGCCTTCTTGCTGGTGGCGTCAATCGGCTTCAGCTTGCACCTCCAGAGGCCATATGGCCCCTTTACCTCATGCGGATTGGCGAAGTGCATCGCTGAGAAAAAGTCTCGACTTCATAGGGTTTGGCCTATGCGTTTCCCGAAGGCTCTTTTGGCTTTTCCGTGAAAACGATTTGGGTACTTTGGCATTTCCCCGCTTTTTTCCCGTTACAGTTTTCTGTACGTGTCGGGGAAAAAGTTTCCGGGTACGCTTACTCGGATTCTTTTTTGGGGATTCTTTGCCTCGGGATGCCCGGCGTTTTTGCACGCCATTTCCTTCGGTTCGAGACAAAAAGGAGCGACTGAGAAATTTTTTGGAATACACTTGCTTCCTTTGAAATATATTCCTTCTCCGTTTTATTCGGAGCGAATCATCTTATTCGGACGAATGTCAGGTGAACGTAACGGACCGCATGTCTCAAACGGTATGTGTTTTTGAAACACGGCTGTTTGGGGCGGTAGGCCCGGAAGGCACCTGTTTTTTCGCTCTTGGTATTTTTGGGGATTGAATTTTCGTTGCTTGTCGCATGCTTACTTTGTGCTGCTTGGTATTCTTGCCGATTTTCCGTTTTTCCTGCAGCACTTGTTGGCACGGGACCTGCCATCAGACAAGCAGATTTTGATCTCCCACCTCCTCCCCTTGCACCTGCCTTGGGGCGTTTCAACGCCTGCGGTTATCTCGGCACTGGCATTTCCCTGCTTTTTTCCCGTTACAGTTTTCTGTACGTGTCGGGGAAAAAGTTTCCGGGTACGCTTACTCGGATTCTTTTTTGGGGATTCTTTGCCTCGGGATGCCCGGCGTTTTTGCACGCCATTTCCTTCGGTTCGAGACAAAAAGGAGCGACTGAGAAATTTTTTGGAATACACTTGCTTCCTTTGAAATATATTCCTTCTCCGTTTTATTCGGAGCGAATCATCTTATTCGGATGAATATCAGGTGAACGTAACGGACCGCATGTCTCAAACCGGGAGATCTTCTCTGTCCGCACTACGCATCAACGTGTGCAGCCCGCAGCCTCCGCTTCCGCTGAGCTTCCCATGGCTGCGCCGGCCACTCCGGCACGCCGCAACCAGGCACATGAACCGCTCCAGCAAACGCCAAGCACCGCGTCTGCATCATGTGCAGCTTCCGCCGCTTCCGCCAGTGCTGCCCCTTGTGACAGACTGCCTTCCGTCATCCACGCTTGGCTTCTGTCCCTGTCTCCGGAAATGCGCGCCCGCTTGTGCTCTGCCCTGCGCCATCTGCAGCCGCGGTCCCGGGAAGTCATCCTGGGTTTCTGCACCGTGCCATGCCCGAACCGCTGCGGACACCCCTGTGGCCGCCCCATGTTGGGCCGACCTCGGCCACATCGTGATCACTTCTGCAGGCGCTGCCACCAGTTCCGCAACTTTGGTCGTGCACTGTTTATGGTTAATTCCGATGCGGATGGTCCTGCCGATCGTGCCGAACCGTCACCTGAGCCGCCTGCATGAGTCCGTGTGCCTGACTGCATTTTTCATTTGTCTTTTGTTTTGCTTTCTTTTCTTTGATCGGTCGCTGCCCGCTGGCTCGACCGCAGGGAATATATTCCCTATCCGCTGCCTCGCTGGCTCGGATTCGCACTGTCTTCTCCTAGGAAAGCAAGAAAAGGACACCGCTGCTATGCTGAGTGACAGCCACAGTCCACATCCTGCATATGTTCATTTACGTAACATGCAGTAGCTTGTGAGGATTGCCTGCCCGCGGTTTTCTCTCAGATTGTTGGCTGTAGCTGTAGACACCTAGTCCACCCCTTTCCCCCGTCATCTTGCGTTGCATCCAGGTTGCGACATGGCACTTCGACCTCGTCTAGATGACCCGGCGCTCCTGGATGCCCTGCTAACCTAGTACTCCGCTCCGGCCTCGCTTTCAGTAGCCTTGAAATCTGCAGGCTTCAACACATTGTCCCTTTGCAGCCCCGGACACAGCTGACGAGCCGGCCTTGCTCCGCTCCGTGCTTTCGCTCTCTCCCGCAGATGAGCTTAACACTCCATCGTGTGCGGCGATACGCCGTTTGCCCGCCTCCTCCTGCCCGCATCTTCGGCTGCAACTCCACCTGCTCCTTCTCCTGCCCCGCTGCCCAGCACTCCCGCGCAGAGCAAGTTGTCCGCTGCGGAATTCGCTCAACTCCGCACGGACTTTACTACATCATACCCAGGTGAGCTACTTAATGCCGCCAACACTCCGTCCTTGCACATGTGCTCCGCAATTAAAGGCCTACATGATTCCGGGGCATCGCCTTGGCTTCCGTGGCGTCAGCGCACGTCGGAAGAGTTGATCAATCTGCCTGCTTGGAAGCCCGCCGCCCCCGCTCCGATAGCCAGTGGCTCCGCGCACTCCTCTCTGCTGAAGATGATTTGCCGGGCCCGGTGGCTTCCGTTAACATGAACGGCCCGATCGAAGCTGTCCTCCGCAAGAGTCTGCACATATTTGCTACCGCTCTTGCCATGCTGAAGCTTGCCACCTGCTCTGCGTTAAACGCTTTGTTGATAAGTTTATCTCGACCGCGGTGGCGGTTCCGCTTGACGGCACGCTCCGCCCGCCCTCTCTGAACAAATTTTTATCGACCGGGCTGTCTGGAGCTCGATCCATGAGTTGGTGCGTGACCACTCGTGGTCGCTTGAGGACGCACTCAACGAATTCAGTACCTGCCGTCAGCATATCTCCTCTCTACTTCAGCCCCGCCCCAAGCCCGCCCGCCCAGACCGCGAGGCTGCGGGCTTCTTCGTAAAGGGGGTAAGGGCCGTTCCAGATCCTCGCGTACAGAGGAAACCCGCAAGCCTGGCCAGAAGTCCAGAGGAAACCCACAAGCCTGGCCAGAAGTCCAAAGGTGGTGAGGGCTCCGCCCGTGGTTCCGGCCGCCCGGAAACGCCTCCGCCCACGGTCAAGCGCCTGGTTCGAGAAAATCGGCAAGAAGGAGATCTGCAAGCGCTTCTCGTGGGCAAGTGTACCAACCCCGCTTGCCGCTATGCACACCTCTGCCCGGTCCCCTTGGCCAATGGCAAACCGTGTGGCCAAAAACACACAGCGCTTGAGCACAAGATCCTGCAAATCCGAAATCAGTGTTAGCTCCGCCGTACAGGATGGTGCTAAGCCGCAGAGTGAGGATGTGCTCCGTGCTCTCAGACATGCTTGGTCCGCCCGGCTGGCCAACGCTGGGTTGGTTCCCAAGATTGTGAACGCGCTCTTGTCGGGTTCCAAACACCCCCCTCTCTCAGAGGCAGAGTTGACCCCTTTCCTTGATGACCTTCGGTCCTTCTTGCACGTCCTCTCTTTTGCATGTTGAGAATGGCCAGCCCTTCCGCTTAAACCTGTGGCACGCATTGTCACTCATTTGCAAAGACCCGGAAGCAGGTCTCTTCCGTCATCTTCGTGATGGAGTTCCACTCGGCTTCTCTGCTCCCATACCGCCGTGCCCAGTTATGCATGCATCATCGAGCATTGCTTCTGCGGCCCCTCCTCTTGAACACTGTGAATCTGCGTGGAAGTCTGCCTTGGACCATCCCGACATAGTGGATGAACTTTTGGCCGAGGAACTCCAACAGGGTTGGATCCGCGAGATGTCCGGCAAAGACGCGGAACTCCGCAGTTCGTACAAGTGGGGAAGCTTGGTGTGGTTATATCCGATTCCCGACCTCCGCGACTGGTCGTGCACAGCTCCGTGTGACTGCCCGCGCCCATCTGCCTAATCGCTCCGCTAACCCGATGCTCTCGCCGCGGAATTCCTTTTGGCTGACTCCGCCAAGAGATTGTGTGCACTTGTGCTGGATCTGAGCAAGGCACACCGCGGCCTAAAAATCCTGCCTGCGGATCAGGGCTTACTGTGTTTCCGCCATAGGGGCCGACTGTATCAATGCCTGACTCTTAACTTTGGTGCCCGGGCTGGCGTCGCCGGCCTGCTTGTGCGTTTTAAGTCATAAGTTCTGGTGGCTTCATCATTCAGCCCTGATATATGTCGACGACATCCTTGCGCTACTCGAGAGGTCTTCCGCCCCTCTCATGGCTAGCTTGCTGGTTGTCCTACTTCAGACCCTGCGTGTCCCGATGAGTTGGCGCAAGGCCAAACTCTCCGCCAGAGTTACGTGGATTGGGTGGCAGTTTGATTTCCATACCTATACGGTCCGCCTGGATCCGGAGAAGCTCCAACGCCTGCTCTCTCTGCTCGAACAATGTCGGCATCTGCAGAAAATTTCTCTTACAATGTTGGAGAAGTTGACGGGGAAACTTCTCTGGCTGTCCAATCTTTTTCGACCATTCCGACCGTCTCTGGCGCCACTTTATGCGGACCAGTGTTGCCCCCCGCTTGTGCACGTTCCTCTCTCTCCGGAAGCCTGCTCTCGCCTGTCAGCTTGCTTATCTGAAGATCTCAGGGTTGAGTCTCAGTCGGGGCTTGCATCCGCGCCCATTGGTGCCGCCTCTACCGCATGGCGCAATCCCTGGTCAGCAAAAAAGCGGACCTGAAGCCCTTTCCTCATAACTCACGCCGACTCTGGGTCGAGATCTCAGACCCCAGTTCTCCGGATCGTTTACTGTCGGAGTCGTCGCGTGAAGTCATTGACATGTGGCTGCAGATCTGCCGTTCCGGCACAGACCTGCGATCCCTTCACTTGTGGCCCCATTTTGAATGTCAGGCTTTTGCTGACGCCTGCGCCTCCGATAAGACCGCAGGTCTTGGTGGTTTTGTGCGCCTTCCCAGCGGGAAGTGTCTGTATTTCTCGCCTACCCAACTGCATAGCATGTTCCCTTGGTTTCCGTCGGACGCTGCTCCTCAACACTACATCGCAGCCTGGGAACTGCTCGCGCAGTGTGGCCTTCTGCATCTACTGTCCTGTTTGCTTCCATCGGGTCATCCGCCCGTACATGTCACATTTCGCTGTGATAACTCAGCGTCGGACGCAGCTTCCTGGAAAGGGCTTTCACTGGCGAAAGGTCTATGTTCCCTTCTCCGCTCCTTTTTCTTGCTGCAGGAACGCCAGTACATATCCGTGCATATTGATCATGTACCTGGCTTCAAGAATGACCTTGCCGATGCACTGAGCCGCGCTTACGATCCGACCTTGATCGGTTTTCTTCTGATCAGCTTTGCTTTGTCCCCTGGACGGCGCTTCCTGCCACTCTGCGAGAGTATACATACCCGCTTGAGCTTGACATGTCAAGATACTTGGCGTGTGCTTGAAAAATGCTGGCCTCCGTTACCCTGTCGGGTCAAGCGTCCGCCTGAAAACTTTGGCGTACTCCGGTCCAGCATTTCAGTCTTCTAGCACCTCTGGTGCTCCCGGTTTCAGCTGATCTGGATCTGCTTCCCGCCAATGTGAAAAAGTGTCCGCGAGTCGCTTTCTTCGCATTCCCTAATAATATGCATTCGTAACGGACTAGTGTTGGCTGTGAACTTTTCCTTTTGCAGTTTCACAGCGAGTGTGTTTTGCAGTGCTTTGGAGACACAGAAGAATTGTGACTTTGAAGTCGTCCTCCGGCCGACCTGACTTTGGCTCAAGGCTGTGATTAAACAGAAGACCGCTGTGCGCTCTTTTGAGTTTTGACAAGGACCGCATAACAGTCCGTGAGGCACTCTTTGCGAACTCAAAGTTCAACACGCGCAAGAAGGCGGACCTGCGTAGACTGGGCGATCTTCGCAGAGGCACGCCCTGGAAGACCTGAATTTTAGTTGCTATACACGGGGTTGGTCCTCACTTGATCTCTCTGGCAAGGGCTTGAAGGGATGACATGCGCCTCCTGAAGACGTCAGACGGACAGACCTTGTCATGGCTATCGTGCTGGGGCTGGCCACCAGCGCCGGCTGTCTCTTACCCAGCACATTTGTTTGGGGAAGGAGCAACAGGGCATGGCGCTAAGTCACATTTCAAGGCCGGAGAACGCATAGAAGTTGCCGCAGAAACCGCCCTTGGTATCTGACCGTGGTGGATCTACTGCCCCACTGCTCAAGATCTGGCTGCCGGACCTCTTTAGAAAGGCTCACATTGATGCTGGGCTCTCAGTTCCAGGCAGAGCCGTGGAAGTTGAGCTCTCGTCCCCGCAGCGAAGCACCACAGGCACGACGGCACCTCAGCCTCAAACTGCTCCACCGGGCATGCAACCTGGAGCTGCTGCGTCCTCTACCTGCACATGCCCACTTGCATCTACCCCACTCTGCGGCTGCCACTGGCCTGCATATTGTCATGGCCGGAGTCCGGTCTGTCAAGTTGGTGGGATTCTGGCCCTGGCGGCAGCTTGCCCACGAGCCCCCTGCGCAGCAAAACACCTCCACGCTTCAGATTCAATTAGTGAGATGCGCGCGCCGCGCCCCTGGGACGTCAAGTAGCGACGTCACACACCACAGTTCGTATCAAGCGGTGCATTGCCACTGTTACCTGCGACAACAAAGGTTATCCTTTCCTTGCGCTTGCGAGACGAATCTAGTGTCCGTTTTGTGTTTCCTAGTTTATGAGCAAAGTGCGTAAGGGAGTCATACGGACGGACTGTGTCTGCTTGCTGCAGTGACGCCTGTTTACTTGAAACATCTCAAATTGTTTGGAATATCTGGTGAGTACGACAGGCCGACGGCTCTGCTCCTGACCTTGAATTCACGCCTGAAAAAATGGCGATTTGCACTACGCCTCGCGGTAGCTCAATCACGTGTGCGCAGTTCACCTGGTGATCTCTGGTGCAGCTGTAGGTTTGTGCAGTAGGCAGTGGGTGGAGAGCGGGACAAATTGTGGTGCATGATCGGCAATACGTGTTTTGCTCGGGCAAGGCTTGCGTTCGACGCAATTAGGGTGTATTTGATTGCGGTTTGTTCCAACATGCTCACTGCTGTCGGAACACTGCATCCCGGAGTCTGGCCTACGATCTGGGTTGCTTTAAGTGAACGGGCAAACGAGCGAACGAGGACAGACGGCGGCCTCAGCCTGCTGGGGTGTTGGGCTCAATCATGTCTCATCCTTGCCGTGTTTATGCACATGTTTGGTGGTGTGGCCGAACCTGGCACTGCGAAGGGCGGGGCAAAGATTTGGTTTGTCATTTCTGTCGACAGCATATAGTGAGCAAAAGGGGATCTTGTTCAGATACGATCGACAGTTGGTGATTTTGTTCAACCACTGCCTGCGTAACCTTGGCTTCGTGGTGTTTAGCAACGTCATTGTGTTGCATGGGCCCAGAATGCATGCTTGCCCGGCCTCATCCCTGAACATAGAGCTCCTCGTGTGGCCAAGCAACCCGTAAAAAGAGTTGTTAAGTGACCAAAAGACACGTGCTAAGTGACCCCACAAAAAAAGGCCAGGCAGCCCCCCTACCGCACGCTGCAGCGTGCAGCCTAGTTTTCCCCAACACCTGCGGGCAGCAGCTCGCGCCGCCCGTGGCGCGCGAAGGGAAGGCTGTCGTGCGGGGCGTCGGACGAGATCGTGCACCTCCTGCCCCCAAAGTCCGCCGACTTCCGCAGCCAGCACGACGAGGCGTTGTGAGCTTGGGAGGGCCAATTCCGGGTAGCGCCGTCCCTTGTGCGGCCGGTTCACGTCGCTGGCAGCCCCATCCCGATTCGACGAGGAAACCAAGGTCTTTTCGCAGCAAGCGGCCTGGCCGTGCCCACTCCGGCCACAGGTGGCGCGGTGTCAACCACGCCTGTGCAGCTTGGCTCGCTGCGGGCAGCAGTAAGCGGAGGCGTTTCCTGAGGGCGACTTGCATGTCCAACGGCAGGAGTTGCGCGCCCTCGTTTGTGCGAATGGCCCGCAACCACTCGCCGGCACTCGCATATCTCGTTGTGCACGATTGATAAAGTTCGCCAAGAATCGTGTGCTTGAGGGACGAGCTCCACGGGTATCCCTTGTTGGCATCCCCAGGAGTCGAACGTCGTCCCAAATGTTTGCGAGTCTTCTGTGCATACGGTACTTCCAACATGTCATCATCAACGTCAATGTAACGCGGCCGCATGCAGATGTAACCCGATTCCCCTTTTCCGGGGGGGGGGGGCGAAGACGAAATTCGAAGACGAAATTTGAAGACGAAATTCGGCCCAGCCGAAATTAGGCCCTGAAGACGAAAGTCGGCACTGAAGACGAAATTCGGCCCCTGAAGCCTAAATTCGACCCTGAAGCCGAAATTCGGCTCCTGAAACCGAAATTCGGCCCCGAAGACGAAATTCGGCCCCGAAGACGAATTTCGGCCGCTGAAAACGAAATTCGGCCCTGAAGCCGAAATTCGGCTCCTGAAGACGAAATTCGGTCCGGAAGCCTAAATTCAGCCCTGAAAACGAAATTCGGTCCCGAAGACGAAATTCGGCCTGAAGCTTGAATTCGGTTTCGGCCCCCCTTAGGCCTGCATAAAATGGCTCTGAATTTCGTTTTCGGGGCCGAATATCGTCTTCAGGAGCCGAATTTCGGCTTCAGGGCCGGCTTCTGGCCCGAATTTCGTCTTCAAGAGCCGAATTTCGGCTTCAGGGCCGAATTTCGTCTTCAGCGGCCGAATCGAATGTCGTCTTCGGGGCCGATTTTCGTCTTCGGGGCCGAATTTCGTCTTCGGGGCCGAATTTCTTTCGGCTTCAGGAGCCGAATTTCGGCTTCAGGGCCAAATTTAGGCTTCAGGGGCCGAATTCGGCTGGGTCGAATTTCGTTTTCAAATTTCGTCTTCGCCCCCCCCCGGTTACGGGGACCCACTTCCCCGGGTCTCTGCGATCTTGCACATTTCTGACTTCAGCATGCGAATCATGCTATAACCCTGCGAAAGCATGAGTGCGTTTTACGCTCCTTGGCGGCGTCTGGCGAGCGCTGTCGCAGCCTACTGGAGACGAGCACACCCTGCGTGCGTGCGTGAGACCGCACCGGTTGGAGCTTTTGCAAGCATCTGATGGTGAACTCGATTAACAAAAAAATGGACGTTCAAGATTGGTGATGCTTTTTCAATGCGGTGATCACAAGAACAGTTGTCTACGGCAGTGTCGCTAAAACCGAAACGCCTACTCTACGCAAACGGTAACCGCAAATTTCATCAGTTCCTGGCATGTGGCGGACAA